AAGCCCACCTGAGGGTGGCAAATCCACGTCTTAGCCTACTTGCGGGTAGCACCATCAAACCACTTTCAAATAAACAAACATGAAATGTTTTGTTTTAATTCAGGCGATCTAGTCTATACTTGTATGCTGTGCGCATCACATAGTAAATCTAGGCTAATAACCGGAATAAGAACGCATAATGTCTTCAAAAATAGATATCATAGTTAGTAGAGGCCGATCTTTGATCGGGCGAGCAGGGGTGCTCACGAAGTGACCTTCCCCAATCGTACCCAAGTTCTCGAGTCGAGGCAACTTTGGTGATGACAGACACGTGGCCTTAGGCAAACGAGTCAGGGTTTCTTAAATTTCTCCAAAATAAAACATTTAAGTGGCGACTCTGTATCTGGCAAAGCAGTCCATGTTTGGCACTTCTTTCAAAATCTGTTTTCTCAAAGTGATTTGCCAGATTTAGACTCTTTGGTTCAGATTTGGAACCATGACAATTTTAGAGTCCTGAACTGTAGTGAGCCTAATATCGAACGGAACGGGGGGACTCGTTCCTCCCCGGGGCATTCGGGGGACGTCAACAGGCGGGTAGGGCATTCTCATGGTTATGGTCTATAGAAGGGGATTTGGTTGGGGTGAGAGGAGTTTTGGAAGCGGGTAAAGCTCAAGGTTGGGTTAGGGGATAGGGTTCGATTTTGGCGAGATCGGTGGTGTGATGACCTCACTTTAGAAGAGCGATTCCTTTTGGTTTTTGATATTGCCATTGATGCTGAGGTTTTGGTGGGTACTGTGTGGTCTGGCCAGGGGGTTTCGACTTTTTGGAATGTGGCCCTGCGCCGTGCTGTTCAGGATTGGGAGCAAGGTCAGTTGGTGAAGTTGTTGGCTTTTTTATATGAGTTGAGAGTGGGGGAGGTTGGACAGGACTCTTTGGTTTGGGAATGTCCTGGGCAAGGTTCTGAAAAGCGGTTGCGGTCGCCGTAACGATGGCGGTGGTGCGGTTGCGGTTGCAGTTACGGTAACCGGAACTGTGAATTTTTTTATTTTTTGCACAATTTGAAAAAAACTTACCGATATACATATTTTTTTTTCCATGATCATATTTATTGGATTTAAAATAAATATTGATCAATTTTTGTAAATTTTTAAGTATGATCCAATATATTTTATATTTTAAAATCACGATAAACTGAGTTTTTTACATTTTATTTTAATAATTAATGACTTTATATTATACAAAAAATCAATCACTAACTATTGTATATAAGATAAATAATGACAAAAGTAAGAGAATAAATAAGAGCCTAAATATATATATATATATATATATACATATTTTAATCAAGCCAAATAGATAATGACCACATTTATTATTATTATTTTCAAACAATATATAGAAAGACACACACAAACAAAATGGTTAAGTGATAGCAATTTTATAGAATAGCATAGATCTTATAGCTTCAACAAATCAATAACATGTTCGTTATCTTCCTTCTTTTCTCTCTCTATCTCTTGCTCCTCCATCGTCTCTCTTTATCTTCACTCTTCTCTCTATCCCTCTTTCCCCATTTTCATCCTTTTTTTTGTGTGGTTTTTTTCGAAAGAAGCAGTTCGGAACCGTTACGTAATGATGCATAACAGGCCGTTACGGCTTGTTAGACTTATTTATTTTGATGATTTATCTAATTATGTTTTAATTTATTTGAAAGAGAAAAACAGAATTCAAAATTTATTTTGATGATTTATTTAATTATATTTTAATCAAAATTTATTTTGATGATTTATTTGAAAGAGAAAAATAGAATCAAAAATTATTTTGTCCCATTATTTCTCACATAAACCTTTATCCTAAATGTTGTCAGAATGTATTTAATATTTGATTAAATCAGGAGTTCAAACAGCCCAAAATAAAGGTTCAAACAGCCTAGCACAGCAGCAGGCCAAAAGGTTCAAGTGGAAGATATTCAAATTAGTAATGATGGAAGTACAACGGCTATAAACGGCAATAAAAGTTCAAAAGGCCAAAAGGTTCAAGTGAAAGATATTCAGATTTTGTAATGATGGAATGGAAGATATTCAAATTGGTAATGATGGAAGTACAACGGCCATAAATTCGAATGACTACAACGGCAATAAACGGCTATAATTTTCATTATATATATCAAAGCCTCTAATGTGAACAAGTCACAAAAAACTAGAAAAAATTCTTTGATCTATAATCACTCACATCTATTCTCAGAAATTATACACTTTAAGCCCATCTTTCCTGTGTGAGATTTACAAAAAAATCAAAATTTCATTTTATATATCTATCTTTGAGAGATATTTATTGTAAACTTTATTTGAAAACAAAAATACCATTTCATCTTGTAAAAGTGTTACAAATACAGTGTTCTTGAAATCTTGAGAGTGATTGTGAATCACCTAAGATTTGCAAGGGTTTGGGCTTGTGAAGTCTGTGTAAAATCCGTAGAGGATTGCTCTATTTGTAAAGAGGTTGCTAGCACCCCTGTGAAGCTAGAAGATAGTGAAAAATCTCAAGTGAAGCTTGAGGAGTGGACGTAGGCCGAGTTGAAACCGAACCACTATAAATTTGTTTGCCTCTCTCCCTTATCTCTTTATTTTATTTTAAATTACCATAGCTATATTTCAGATTTTTACTGTACTAAAGTCATTAACTGACATAGTTGTTAAGACACTTGTTTTAATTATTATTATTTCATTAATTATATTTACCTATTGTACTATTATTAATTTTAATAGTAAAAACCTAATTCACCCCCCTCTTAGGTTGTCTGTTGGGTAACACAACTGTTATGGCACCGTTACGATTGCTACGGCCGACACACCTGTGAATCTCAATCACATTGCAAAAGCGGCCGTAACGGGGTGGCCATAACTACCACAACCGTTACGTAACGGTGTTACGTAATAGTTGCGGCTGCTTTTTAAAACCTTGGTCCTAGGGCTAAGTGCACTTTTTCCGTATCTTCTTATTATCGTGTGCTTGCTCACGTGGAGGAGGCTGCTTTTCCTTGGAGTGTGCCTGTGTTCCGGGTACACCATCTAAGGTGGCCTTTTTTGTGTGGACAGCTATGTTGGGGCGTGCTTTGACTTTGGATAATTTAATTCGTCGTGGCCACATATTGGTTAATTGGTGTTGTTTGTGTTGTGGTGCTGCGGAGTCGGTGGATCATTTGTTCATTCATTGTCCGGTATCTTCTCGCCTTTGGATGTTAGTTGTTGCGACTTTCGGTTTGGCTTGTGTGCAGCCGGCGTCGGTTCAGGCAGTTCTGCATAACTGGGGAGGGGGTCGAGTTGGGAGGAGATGTTGGAAGGCGTGGATGCTTGTTTCTCATTGTATTCTATGGTTGGTTTGGTTGGAGCGAAATAGGCGCATTTTTCAAGGGCTGTCTCATTCAGTCCTTTGGTTAGAACGGCGGCTTCTTACGATATTGTATGGTTGGGTAACTAGATCGGTTGATCCGGATGTTTTGGCTTTTGTTGAATTTGTGGAAGATTTGATTTGTAGTTCATTAGTTTGTGAAGCCTCTATGGCTTCCTTTGTTGTATTTTATGCATCGTCTTGATGCTTTTCAATAAAAATTGGTTACTTATAATAAAAAAAAAATTAAAAAAAAAAATGTTGTCTCAAAATCCAGAAATTTGATAGTAATATAGAATCAGTTAGAATGCCTTCCTTCTACAAATCCTGCAACTTTTGTGTATAAAATGAACCATAACGCTGCAAGCTTATGACAACCTTAGCCCACCATAAGCCCAATTACACGCAGCATCTATGTTACACGGGACACGACACGGACACGTAAAAACGCAAATTTTTAAAAAATAGAGGACACGACACGCTGGGAACACGTTTAATATATATAATTTTTTATATATATTATGTGTAAAATTAAAAAATATATACTATATTTATTTATTTATATTTATTTATTATATGTAAAATTAAAAAATCATACGCTGCCTCCAGAGACGTGTCCGTGCTTCATAGCGCAACATTATCTGAGTTTTCTAATTTTCCATGTATCAAACCCCCAAACCAAAATCAAATCATCATATGCAGGAAATGGCAGGTTGGCAGGCAGTTCTAGGTCAAGCATTGCTACCTATGGTTCAAGGAATATTTTCAAGAGACAAAAGAGGCTAAATTTATGAGATTATTGACTAGAAATTTGTGGCATAGAAAGATACAAGTAGAGGTAACAAAGAAATGGGGACTAAGAACATTTTAGAAAAGGACTAGTTTTCTAGGCTTTGATTGTTGATGAGCCAGTTTCCTATTATTTGGGAAACATAACTGTAACTGTGGTGTTGTGTGGTTTGGTTGGTTGTTTAGATTGTGTTTCCCTATTTGGTTCATTAGAATGGAATGAAATGGTGATTTTTTATGTTGTGTTTGGTTGGGAGATTTGAAGAGGGATTTGGAAGGGAAGGTGAAAGAGAAAATGTGTGTGAAATTAGGTGAAATGTAAGCATATTTTATTCATATTTCGCTTACATTTTTCCTTTCCTTTTCTAAATCCTTCTTCAAATCCTCCAACCAAACACAGCGTTAGGCTTTCCCATGGAATAACCAAACCAAACACAGCTTTAGGCTTTCCTATGGAATAACCATTCCCTTCAAATAGTAAAAGATGATTCCATTTATAATTCATTTGTCATTGTTTTTTCAGTCTAATCAAACATGAGAATGAATATTTGGATAGAATGATCGTTCCATTCCACTTCATTCCAATTAACCAAAAAAACAATTTAGGATTTTTTTTTTTAGCTGCTTTTTTTAAATGGATTTTCTGGAATGAATTTCAATTTACCAAAAAAAATTCTATGCAAGAAAATATGAATGAAATTAAAAACTGCCCAAGAGAACTAGTAGGTAAGAGCAAGTGCTTCCAATACGATCAACACGGTAATAATAATAAGACAGACTCACAAAGAGATGAGAAAAACTAATCGAGCCTGAAAAGAACGACAGAAGAAGAAGAAGGTACCCTGAGATAACTCGCACCAAGCGCGAGCCTGGACGGCAATGTGGGAAGTGAGGCGAGTGGCGGCCACCACGCTGTGCAGCGGCAGTAGCGATTCACAGCACCCTACCACTCCGGTAGTCCTTGTAATTTATTAAAAAAATAAAAAAATAAAACAAACACACACACACACACACAACACAAAAACAAACATTATGAATTGAATCAGAGGTGATGATGATAAACGAAGATTTTAGGTGAGAGAACCCTAGAAATGGAGGCGGCGGAACAACCTGGTGAGGGAGGAGAGGAGGCGGCGAGATTGGGGGCGGTGGCCGTGAAGTGGTGGGCGGAGGCGCGGAAGAGAGGAGGTGGTGGAGCGGACAGTTGATGTTCTGGCGGTGGAGATCAACGACCTCGAAAGCGATCCGCAGCGCCAAGCCATCTTCTCTGTTTTCTCTTCTCTGGATTCGACAAAGTTCTTATCAAGAGCGGACAGTTGACATTCTGGCGGTGGAGATCAACGACCTCGAAAGCGATCCGCAGCGCCAAGCCATCTTCTCTGTTTTCTCTTCTCTGGATTCGACAAAGTTCTTATCAAGGGTTCTAGGAGGTTTTGAGTCCTATATTGGACTTCACGACGCCGTTTCAATTGAAGTTTGCTTAAAATTATTACTTAAAAGAAAAATGCTTAGTGCTCCCACTAATTAGGTGACAGTGGGTTCCGCCATTAATGATGTGATGTTTTGGTCTTGGAGTTGTATTTTTTTTTTTAATGCATTAGTGCTATTAGTGGTGATGTTTTTAGTGGGATGAATCATTGTTGTTACTTAAAATACTGATAAATTATAAATACATCAATATAATTTACTTAAAGTGCGAATTATATTTTATAGTGCTAAAAATTATATTATGCCCTCCAAATTCTAACCTCATAACAAATGTGTTTTTTTTTAGAGACCTTGATATTAAGATTTTATAGTATAGAGGACATTCAATATTTCCATAATGTCTAAAATTCCTCAATATTGATCCAAAGAAATTTCAATTCAAAAAAATTCTTTCCAGAGAAATTTTGGATTTTTCAAAGAATTTCTCTGGGTTCAAACTAGAGAAAATTCAAATTCTCTAAGTTCAAACCAAAGAAAATTGAACAATATAGAGAAGATTAAACCTAAAAATCCAAAACCGGTAATACAAAACTAGAAATCCAGAGAAAGTTCACACAATTTCTACATTCAGAGAAAATTTTGATCCAGAGAAATTTTGGAAAAACTAGAGAATTCCTCTGATGTTTTGGTACTAGGTTCAATATTGTTTATTAATGTAGTTGAAAGAATTTTCTCTATATCAGAGTTTTCTCTGTATTTTTGGCCGAACAAGAGAAGATCCCTTTAAAACCCACATTAAATCCATTTCAATACAACCACTGCAATTCAATTCAAGCTCCTTTAATAGCAACAATGGTACACAGTTAAACTGTAATACAAAATCAGAAATCTAGAGAAAATTCAGATAATTTCCACATCCAAAGAAAATTTTGATCTAGAGAAATTCTGGAAAGACTAAAAAATTTCTCTGATGTTTTGATTCTAGGTTTAATGTTGTTTGTTAATGTGGTTGAGAAAATTTTCTCTGGATCAAAATTTTCTCTGTATTTTCGACCGAATTAGAGAAAATCTCTTTAAAACCCACATTAAATCCATTTCAATACAACTACTGCAATTCAATTCAAGCTCCTTCAATAGGAACAATGGCTGCCACAACCACCAAACCCATCTTGATCATTGCAATTGGCATTTACATACATTTAATCACAAATAAATTAAATGCTTACATTTGCTTTTGTGATGAAATCTCTATTTTTATATTTCTGATTTCAATTACCCATAACAATTGAAGAATGAAAAAGTGGTGTAGATCTTTGTTGGCAACATCGAGAGAAACTGATTAACAAATCGCTATCTCTATCGTACATATAACATAGAGATAGAAAGAAAAATACGTATAAAAGTTGTGTATTTTTTCAATGAATCATTTCTTCAAACAAAACAAGATTATGGAATATATACATTTGGGGGAGGGGGTGGTTATCATCGTATCTGGAGTTTAAGAAATTTAGCAGTGTACTACAGGCCTCATGGCCAAGGGTGTGCTTTTTGCGAGAACTCTCAAGTTTGAGGGTGGGAGTTTTAGCTATGTTGTGCTTGGGGTAAGAGAGTCGTTGTTTTAGACTCACGTGCACTTCATTGTATAGAGGTTTCGTGTAACAACCACCCCCACCTCAAAACAGAAGGCAAAAAAATCTGTTGGTGTATGTGTCTAGGGTTGCAACTTGTTTCACTTAATTAGTCTGTTGCCTTCTTAAATCTCTATCATATAATAAATTGAAAAATATGGAATTGAACCAAATCAAATTGTGTATATATCAAGTTGGTGGGTTGGTTTTGGTTTTTAATTAAAGTTAATATTAACCGTTAATTTATTATAACATTATATACAATATGATATATGTTAGAATTTATTTTGTAAATATGTGAACCACAGTGAGGAGGCCCAAACAAACCAACTCCAATGATCCTGATCAAGGCTGTCCAAGTAATTCTCATCTGCCATTACTCTTGGCCAAGTTAAACCCCAACTACTGTCGCAATTTGTATGGTGGAAGGGTGGCCCTAGTAGAGGTGGATTGGAAATCATTGTGCTGAAGTGGTGGTGGGCGGCTGTGCAAGAGTTGGTGGTGGAGGCAATAATACTTTTTTTTTGCTTTCGCTGAATGAGCAGAGCCAGCATTCTTCTTCGTATAGTGAAAATTTATTATGGCAAAATGTTAATGGTGCTAGGGAACTGAAGGTAGAAGGTCAAAAAACAAAATAGGCCTATAGAAAGTGTTGAACTCCTTCAATCAAACTTTTCTTCCTAGAAACCTTATACTTCTATCTTTTTCTGGAACGAATCAATGGAATGTTCACAACACGATGGAACCTCCTAAGGATGCCATTTAGGCCATGTTTGTTTGAGCGGACTGGATTAGGTTGGATTAGTATTCCAATGACTAATAATCCTAGGACTATGAATCCTTTGATTGTGTATCCTATCCTATGTTTGGATTGAGTTAGGATTATAAGGGGGGATTAATAAAATATTATCCAATCCAATGTTTGTTTAAGGGGATTTGAATGAATAGGACATGACAAGATATGAGACATCCAATATATTGACCATAATACCCATATTATAATTAATGTAAAATTTTGCACTAAAATGAGCTATAATTTTTAAAAAGCAAATTTTCATATTGTTGCTCCACATCCATTTCGATTCATTTGAACAAAATTTAACCCATTTTTTTTTAATAGAAAAAATAAAAAATAATTCAACTATAAAATTTATATATACCTTAAGGAGCCATTTTAAAAAATACACTGCTATTTTAATCATCTAATCATTCATTGCTTAAATTCAAAAAAGTATTTATTTGAACAAAATTTAACCCCCACTTATTTTTTAATAGAAAAAATCAAAAACCATTCAACTATAAAATTTATATATAAACAAACAATCATTAAAAAATATACCCTGTTATTTTAATCATCCAACCATTCATTGCCCAAATTCAAAAAGGCATTTATTTAAACAAAATTTAACTCTCTTTTTTTTCGAACAAAAAAATATAAAAAATCATTCAACTATGAAATTGTAGAAATATAAATCTACCATTCATCATTTCAAAATAACCATTCCAAGTAGCATATTGCAATATGAAGTAGCAAAATATGAGTAGTTCAACAAAAAAAAAAAAACCAAAAGTCAAGTCCTTATTACATGCATTAGAGTAATAAAAAAAACTAAGTACGTAGAAGGACATAAAAGAGCCACGAGTCTATCATGGAGCACTCCTACGTAGCAACCTCATCACCCACCTTAGTTTGTCATCATGTGTCAAGCTGAAGAACATGTCGAGCTTTTGAGCACTTTGTGATATGATCTCACAAGCATCTAGTCTTTCATCAAGAGCAATTGGCAACTTAATGAGTTCATCATTCAAACTTGCCCGTTTAGATGCGAGATCATGTTCATAGCCCATTCTTCGACCAATGAAATCTAGCTTTTCATTGGTGGCAGAAAATACCTCACCCAACTTGTTAGCAATCATAGACAACCCTTCCACTACATCATCATTGCCTCTAGGCCTCTTCTTGTTGTCATTCTTTTTTGTAGAACTTTCAGGTGGTCGTTGACTTGATGAGCTGGAGCAATTTATTCCATCGCCGATATGACTACTAATACCCATATGTTCAAGAAATGTGCCATCATCTGCAAGATTGTTGAACAACAATTCTTCCTCAGCATTTATAGCATCAACTGCATCAACAGGCCCTTCAGCAAACTCCCCCGTAGCTCGATCCTTACCAAATATGTGGATCCATGAGTCGAAATACGGAAAACTTTTGTTTCGTAAGTTTTTCGCATCGCTCTCCCTCTACAATAACCAATTTCAATTAATATCTCCAACTTAAGATTAAAGAAAAATGAATTAAAAAATTAATAAATTATACAAAGTAACTTAAAAGAAAGTATTTTACCCGAACATATGCTTCCCAGACACTATCACTCTCAACATCAATTCTTTTCTCTGTGTCATTCCATCCAAAACCACTAGTACCAAGCATTCTTGCTACACAGTTATAGTGCTTCTTCTTTATCTTTGATTCGATGTGGGGAGTGCCGCGAAGATTTGTCCCGGGTAGCATCTCCAACAATTTCTCCTCTAATTTCATAAGGTAGCTGGCCTTGAAGGCATTGTCCTGTTTCATTCCATTGTTGACAATGTGCATCAAGGCATTAATAAGACATTGCTCTTCTCGTGGGCTCCATAATCGCCATGGTTTTGACGGATCAACTTTCTCCTTTACTTTTTTACGAGAACTAGACACTTCACTATCCATGCCTAGCAAAGAAGAAAAAAGAAAAGTGTGCATGTTAGTCTCCATTATATAATTATCAACCTGTTAATGTGCCAAAACAAGTCAATACATAAATGGATTTCAATAATCAAAAAATTTCAAACCCATACATGCATGTAACAAATCCATGAGAAAAAAAAATATCGTCACTTAAAGAATATGCAATCACCAACAAAAACCATACAATTTTTGCAAAACATGGTTCAACATCCACAAGCTAATACAAGTTCCAATTACAAATCAAATGAAACTACATCATACTTGTAGCAAGTACTTTTACAAATATTGAAACTATCCTTGTCATGCCTTCCTACTAGCCAACCAATTGTTATATAGTTGCATTACAAGTGTATCCCGCCACCCAGTCCACTCATTAGATGTCTCAACGGTGTCAACAAAATCATCTCCCAATTGAGGTTGATCTTCTATGTCATTATTTAGCCTCTCTTCTATTGGGTCAACCGGCATCTCTCGACGAATAAGGTTGTGTAACAAACAACATGCTGTGATTATACGATTTTGAGTTCTAATGGGGTAGTATGATGCACAACGAAGTATTGCCCATCTTATTTTCAACAAACCAAAACACCTTTCTATGACATTTCGGGCTGATGCATGTTTCATATTAAAAAATTCTTGATAATTAGTTGGAGTGGCCCCTGCTCTCCAAACAGACAAATGGTAGCGTTGGCCCCGATAAGGTGCTAGGAATCCTTGTCCATTTGTATACCCGGCATCTACTAGGTAGTAGTACCCTGTATGAGATGTTATATGTTAGAATCTATTATTAAATAAAACTTAGTAATTCCATCAAGCAAAGTTAATTATTTATTAATTACCAGTTGGAATTCTTAACCCATTGGGTCGATTAATTGCATCCCTCAAAACCCTAGAGTCTGCAGCTGACCCTTCCCACCCCGGCAACACATATATGAAGTTCATGTCCTAAGAGCAAACTCCTAGAACATTGGTAGCAATCTCCCCCTTCCGCGTTCTATATCGTGCTTGGTAAACCACTGGTACACGAACTTTAATATAGGTTCCATCAAGTGCTCCAAGACAATTCTAGTACATAAAAGACATTGTAATAATTATGAGTTGTAAAAAAAAATGTGTAATGTATTTTATTAAATGTTTTACAAACTACATTTACCTGGAAGCAATTCCACCTTGGATCAGTGCATGCTTGTGTTATGGGATTTGGTGTCCTAAGTAAGCGGCCTTGAAGGCACAATATAACTTTTAGGACATCATTGAAATGTCGACTTACAGTCTCTCCGGACCTAAAGAAATTGAACTTAAGTTTTCGTACTTTCAGGTCATGTGCCAAGACATAGAGGAACAAGGCCATCTTTTCTTCTAAGGTAAAAATATATATATAAATAAAAAATTCCACGTCTTTGGCCCGTGCGAGGGCTATATCTGGTTTTAGCAAAATAAATCCTGATTCTGGTGAGCTTGATTCAATTGTGTTGGAAGATAGAGATATACCGAGGGGAATTCAACTGCTTGAAAAGTTGCAGGGAAGTGGCTCAATCGTGGAGGAGGTATTTTTAGCAGCAGCGGAGACTGTGAAGACAGCAATGCATAATTTGTTGATTAAAAAGCAATATTCTGTGGAAAAGCGAGAGTTCAGAAAGAGGGGCAGAAATGATAGAAAAACGAAACATTAACAAGATTTTGTCAACAGTTGCAGTTTTTATTCTTTCCCATTCTATGTGCAATTCTTAGAGCAACTCTGTATGTGTTGTTCTGTAGTTTTCTTTTGGTGTTTCGTAATCATAGTTATTGGATTTGTAGAAGGGAAAAAAATTGGGAAAATGATAAAAACATTCAAGAGTTGTTTGATGAAATTTATTGTTTTCCGTTACATAAAATATTAAATATATTTATCTTTATTTTTAGTGAAAAATGAAAAACAGAAAGTATGCTGGTACATGTGTATTTGATAAACTAAGATTTGGAGGTTTTTCTCATTTCTTTTTCCCCAGTGATGAAGTTGATTTAGATAAAGCAGCAATTTTGGTATTTGAATTTTAACTTCTTGTCAAAAGTGGTCAATCTAATACTGCACTCTTTCTTTTTTTAGCATTTCTTTATTTTTTAATCCTCCACCTTCATCATATTCTTCTCATTTATATAAGTTCATTTCTTCTAGTTTCTTTTTTCTTTTCAATTGGTGTATCTATTAGTCTAGTAGCATGCTGTTGGCCTTGGGATTTAAACCATGGCTTTTGCGAAGAGATAGATGAAATAAAGTTCTGTTTGATGGCACTCCTATTTTGAATGATTCTAGCACTATGAAATTTCAACTAATTTAGAATACAAACACACACACACACACACACACACATTATGAACCTGTTACTCTAATTTCCGAATACTTAATAAAATTGATTGCAGGCCAATGACAAGAGGTTTAATTCTTTCTTGATCAAACTTCCAAATGTACAGAAACATGCTACATTTCTTTTCTGTAAGTCCTAAATAAATGCATGCACATCATATATATAAGATTTCAGCTCATGAGAAGACAAGAAACCTCTGAACATTTTTAGAGAATGTCCTTTCTCTCATATCTGACCTGAAACTTTTCACTCTCACCATATCTGTAATAAGATATTTCAGGAAAATATCTTATTACATCATGAATTCACAAAAAAAGCTATTTTAATTCTTTAAAATTTGTTTGATACCTCTAAATGGGAGGAAGAGAAGACACATACAAATCGTTCTGCTGAATCGGAAAATGAGTAAATCGTATGATTCAGCGCGATTCAGAAAAGATTAGAAAACATATTCTGAAATCAAAATCCACTAGAGTAATTGGATTTTAAAAATTACAAATACAATTATACATCTTTCTATGTTTGTCTTTTCTTAGAGTTAACAAAAAAAAAATATATATATATATATGTATCAACCCAAAATCACCTAACTACCCTATTCTCCTTCCAGAAGATGAGAATTACAGGATTACATGTACAGATCGTAAATAGCTTTTAAAGAGTTCGTGAATTGAAGTGCAAACCATAACGAAGCAGGCAATTATTGATCAATCAAAAAAAAATTAAACAAGTCACAAAACACAAACCCAACTTGAAGAGACGAACCTGATTCAACACGACAATACGACGACTAAAAGAGAGTGCAATTGAGGAAGGGACGTAGCTACAAAGCAGGGATCGGAGCTTTTCATTTGCTGGAAAAACTTGGAGATGGTAGTATCGTATAATCGTATTGAAGATAAATTAATCTATTTATGAACACAATCAACAAATCTGCGATTTCAATGTGAGTGAAAAACTCATAACCCTAGATATGGATCTATGAAGATGAAGAGAGAGAAAGAGCAATCACTATAACAACACCAATGTAAAACAAAGATTCATAGCAAATCAAACCACGTAATAGCACCTTAATTCAAACCGAACATCAATGGAACAAAAAAAAAAAGAATTACTCACTGAAATTTGTTGAGATCAGTGAATCAACAAATAGTGGATCCAAATCGATGAACAGTTGCCTTGTTGAGATCAACGAATCAACAAATGGTGGATCCAAATCGATGAACAGTTGCTCCAGATCTCCAAATCAGTGATTAGTGGCTCAAGCTCGGCGATGAACTTTGAAGACTCTCATCTCATCACAGCAATGTGGAAGAAGTGAAGGTTGTAGAATAAAATAATCAACAAATATGATATATAGTGAGGGTTAATTTGGTCATTTGATGAGTTAGTCCTGATTTTGGCTAATCTCCTAATTTATATCCCACACTTTTTTGTGGGATTGAATAGTCCATCAAATGGGGGACATCATATCCGAAAGGATTGTTAATCCGTATTTTAATTTTTTAACCAAACAACGGATTAATAATTTTCTTAGACTATTAGTCCAATCCTAAGCTCATGTCCATCCAAACAAACATGGCCTTAGTTCCTTAGAACATCAAGAGGGCGGGACAAAGACCTAAAGTTCATCAAGGTAACAAACATAACAAGCAGGACGGTGGTTTTTTTTTTTTTTTTTTTAAGCAGGCAATCATGGTAGGATGGTGATTGTGTGTATCAATTTCCAATCACACTGCCAAATAGGTACTTAGCTGGAGAACACTGGCAGAATAGATTAAGCCCGAACGACCTGTCAAAAAGAAAAGATTCCGGCGGTGGTTCGTCCACCCGGGGGCACTCCGACGATCAAGTCAGTTATCTCTCAAAGATAGCAAAAGTGCGTAACTCACTATTCAGAATACAAAAGCGTACCTTAGACCCATGAGGGTGCCTCTCTTTTATAGCCAACACTGACCTAATCCCAATAGAAGCCTGATTTCAATGGTTTTTGGATTACTGCTAATCTTGGACTCCCGGTAGGATTGGGATAAACTCTCTAAGAGTCTTATCTTTATCCAAACTGAAGTCCTCGCTTATTCTAGGACTCTTGTCCCTTATCCACTTATCTTGGATTCCGGTATCTTCACAAATAACCTCAGCCTATCTGAGATCTTCTCGGCGTCATGACCAGGACACGTGGCACCTCGGCTGGTACTTTGGTGCCACCTCGGCCACGTGTTGTCACTCAAAAATTATGTCCCCACAACTGCCCCCTAGGTTTTATTACCTCGGCATCCTGAGGTGATGGAACCTTTATCGTTTCTTCCATTTAGTATGTCGGCTAAGCTTGCCTTGTCCTCCATTACCGAGGTCACCATTCATCGGCTCAATACGACCAAGACTTAGTCTGTTTTCATCAATACTTCAGAACCAATAACCAAGTTTGTTCAAGTTTCCTAGCCGAGATCGCCCTCCTAGCCGAGGTCCTGTTCCATTAAATCAAGAACTCCAAGAGTTTTAACATGCGTATGAGCTATTACGCACAGTATTTCAATTGTTTCTGCCACGCGTCTTTCCCCCACTGAGCCGTGCCTGACACGCGCCATTAAGTCGCATTGCTCGTGCATGCGCCGTCTGACAAGCATGTCGTCCTAGGCACCATAATTGTTTTTTTGTTGCCATTCCGCATTTCAACAAAATTACTTCCCTCTCTCTCCGTCTTTTCACTTTTGTATCTTCGTTCTCATTCAAACTTTCTCTCTCAATCCTTTATTGCTGCTTTCGCGAAGCTTTCTGCAACCAGTTTCACTCTCCCCCTTCAGCGAGGCTTTCATTGCACTTCTTTGCTTATTGCCACCGTCTGACACCGGCGTATTTCACACCGGCCATTTTCTTCCTAGTAAGCCACTACTTCTCTTATTTCAATTTTTTGTTTTACTCCAAAGAACTCCACTGTTGTATCCACTGCCTTTGTGTACTTGTTCATGTCTCTGATCATTAATTTGTATCTTGAATTCCACCATGTATTGAGCATGTTTGTTTCATGATTCCGTTTCTGCCCAATCCATTCTTGAGTATACACACACTGCTTATACATTTGTTGATTTTTGCCACTGTGCTCTTGATAGCTCATCATCATTCTTGATTCTGAATCACCGTTCTTGTTTTTGTTTTCTGTGCCTTTTTTCTAGATTCTTGCATTTAGTCCTTGTTTACATAGACTTAGGTTTGGGATTTGTTGTAGAACCCACGAATTTTAGGAAAAACTGAAACAAACTTCACTTAGATCCTCAAAATTTCTTGACCCCATCATTCTTCTAGGTTTCACCGAGGTCCCTCCAACCTCTACAAAACACACCCTTCTGAAATCCAAAACGTTCCCCTAAGCCGACATCATGGGTATGTGGAGGCATATGGTAGACACCCCAACTAAATTAGAATACTTTAGGTAGGAGTTTTCTATCCCGGCTGACGTTCATCTTAGGTTAGCGGGAGAGGATGATTCCATTATGCCCACAGTTGACTCCATACCCTTCCCAGTTGTAGCTTTCATAGAGTGTGGACTTAGGTTTCCACTTGACATCCTTTTCCGAGAAATCCTCCATTACTACAAATTGAACCCAATACAGCTCGCCATAAACTCTTACCGAGTTATCAACGACAAAATAGCCTTAGCCAAAAAAGAGAACGCTAGGGTAACTTTAGCCGGCATCTAATACTGCTACACCATGTGTGGCCTCAAGTTAGAAAAAGGCTACATCTACTACCTCAAACTGAGGTCCACCGAATACAAACTTGTTGCCAACCTCCCAGACTCCAACAAGGGAGCCGAGAATGATTACTTCATTGCCTCGGGCAATTGGGAGTTCACTCCAGAGGAGGACCTTCACCTCTATCCTCTTAGCCAAACAGTATTCGTAGAGGGTAATGGTAAGAGCCAAGTGTTACATTTTTTCCAAGTTTTTAATACTTTGTTCTTTCTATATGTTCTAACGTTTGTTTTTTGTGCAGCTCTTCCACAACCACCAAATGACTTTCGTAAGTCCTTTTTCCCCAGCAAGGACTTGAAGAAGCTGTTGGATTTGCCAGTTCAGAGGCGGAGAGCTCCTTTGTTACTCAACTACATCCCGACTTACAAGTTGGTTCTTCCTGACACCCCGAAGAAGAAGAGCAAGTCTCCTCCTTCCGCCATAACTCCACCAGCAACTTTATCCCCTCGGCCAGATCAGGGATCAACTTCTGATCTAGTTGAGTAGCCATCAAACTCGGCTCCATATCTGATCCCTCCATATCAACGTAAATGCCGACGCCGAACTGAAATTACTGTCAAGATGGGTCGCAAGAAAGTAGTTGCAGACGATCTTCTAGCCGACATCCCTGATACTATCAACGTTCAACCATCACAATCCCAGCCTCAACCAAAGCCAAAGTCCAAAAGACTGAAGAAGGCCCAGCCTAAGGCAACGGTGACTCAGATTGACACTGAGGATCCTTTGCCCATTTTAAAATTGGCTGAGAGCGAGAAGACCCCCTCCGCTGCTGAGAAGAGGCCTGCCGAGGCCGAACCATCCCAATCAACTCGGTCGAAGAGGCCAAGGTCTGAATCAGCAACAACCTCGGGCTCTATGAAATCTAATGTCCCCTGGGCTCCCCGCATTACAATTAAGGACAAACCGGTCAGAGTTGGCGACAGCGCGACTAACCTCGAAGTCGGCATTGCCCTCTCTACGGCTTTGCTCCTTCCCAACGATCTCAACCGTAACACCGAAATGAGCGAATACGAAAATTTCGCTCTAAAGCTGTAGCATTCCGTACAAGTAAGCCCCTAATACTTGGTACTTTACTTTCTTTATTTCTCATACTTAGAAAATGTTACTGACTTTTGTCCTGTCCATTTCTTCTAGGCGATCCAGCACGTCCACTCCTTCGTAATGCAAGCCTTTGCCATCAACAAGGAGTTAGCAAATAAAACCAAGGAGGCTACAAGCTTGCAGAAGGCCCTTAACAAGGCTGAGGGCAAACTGAAGGGCTTGACAGATCAGGCCGAGGCAGCCAAGAAGGCTTAGGACAATGCCGAGGGAAAGGCTGACGCTGCAGAGGCCATTGCCAAGGTCTTTGCAGTTGAAAAGAAAAAGGCCGAAGCAAAGATGGTTGAGGCTCAAAAAGAGCTTCAAGATGCCCTGGCCAAAAAAGAGGCCAAGATCAAGGCCATCGATGAAAAGGTGTACGCTGGGGGGGCGGCCGACATCAAGGAGGACTAGAAAAAACAAGTGAAGCAGGCATGCAACAAGGTTTTCACCCTTGGTTGGATGGCTGCCCTCAAAAAGCTAGATGTCCCCGAGGACTCCCCCCTCAAGAATGCTAGCGACCTCCCCCTACCATTCCCCCCAACTTTGAGCCAATCTGAAGACGATTCTGAATCCGAGGAGAAAGCTTTGGTCAGGAAGAAGAAGGAAGCTGCTGGGGCCAAGTCCCCTACTCTGAATAAGCAACTCGTGGACTTGTCTCAGGATGAGGAGAGTGAGGTCGCCAAGGATGCCACTCCTGAAAGGACAACATCGGACGCGCCTATCACTGACAAGAGTGTCGACCAGACTCTTAAAGAGATCGACGCCAAGCTCGCGGCTGAGAAGGCCGCCGAGAAGAATTCCCAAATGTCCTCTGAGCTCCAAACCCAACCAGCTAATGATGTCGAATAGTCTAGTTTATTTACTTCTTGTACTTTTTCTGACTTTTGAAACAATGTAAGCTTTATTTCAGCCGACGTGCTACTTTTGTAATCTGAACAATTTACTCTTTAATGTCAAGCCGATGTGTATTTTTTCCTTATCTAAATGCATTCTCTAATTTCTTCTTTCAATGTGATTGAATATTTGTCTTCCTTTTGCTGTCTTGTATGTTTCTATAATTAGAATCATTTACATGTCTTCAACATACACCTTAACTGTGTAATCTTCTCGATGTGAAATACTTTGGCTATACCCATTAACAATTTGCCTCGGTTTTGACCTAACACTTGAAAATATTTCTCATAATTTCAACGAGTGTTAAACCAACCTCTTTTAACATAACCTCGACTTAACTTCAACTTGTAAATTTTTCTTAAAATTTCAACAAGTGTTAAACCAACTCCTAAGCATCATTCTTCAGCCCTCTGCCCCCTAATGTGAACTTAAGTTCCACTTAAGTTCTCATTAAGTATGTGGATTTGACCTTGTCGCCAAGGTTAGATTCAAACCAAGATTGGCCGAGGTTATCGACCTCGGCCTTTTTGTTAATCTAACTGACATGCACTTAACTTTAATCT